GATAGAGAGAGTACTCACAACACATCATTCAGGGCCTAGTTTCGCCACCATGTCACCCAACCCGACCAGATCTTACGAATTATCAACTACCAAACCAACAGCACAAAATCATCGAATTGAACCAATCCAACTACCAACTACTACAACTACAAACAACTACCTAGTTTGCGCCATCAGCATTCACTGAAAGTGAATGTTTACTTCATCTATAACCAACCAACCAAGAGTTTACTGGTTTCCCGGAGCCAAGCTAATGGCAAAAGGAAATAATGAATATAATTACAGACAGTATATCTTTCCACTTGCAATTAGTAAAGCATCAGGTAAAATCGAAGTGAGAATTATCAATTAGTCATTGAAAGTCAATATGCAATTTGGACAGAGAGAACCTAAATTTGATAATTCTATTCTTCATTATTTGTGGAATTTTTTGAAATATAACTAAGACTTCCGAGAAGGGAAGGTGAATAATAAATCTCAATAACGTTGAGAATACGCTAACATCGATCATGTTCGATTGTATTCTGGTAAACTACCGTAAAGTTATTAGTATTCATCATTTTATTGAACCCAAAATTTGTCACGGAAAACATTGACCTCCATTGGCTACTGGATGCAGGCTTATTGCCATAATCATTCATCTATAGACGTCGCCATTATTGGTAGCAGGATTGCAAAGTTTGTTAGATAATATTGCATAGCTGTACCTGTACGTCAATCGTATATTCTACACGGCATGCCGTAACCTGAAATTGATCTCATTTAACTTAAATATGCATAAGACTGGACAATTTAGCAAATGCTGTAAAAACCTTTTTGACATACCATAATTAATTTTGAAAATAAAAATTATTCAAGATCTTATCAATTAACAAAAGTTCCAATCATGTTAACCAGTCTATGTTAACTCATAAAAACTATTTTAAATAGGACAATAATTCAAAAACTGACCATCGGAAAATAGAAATTATCCGAGATCTCATCAATGCACATAAGCATACAAAGTTTCTCAAAAACTGTCGTTTTTAGAATCCTGACAATCCTATCCAAGTACATGTAGTCTCGATCTAAAAAAAAGTGTACGGGCCGAATAAAAGGTTCAAGATTCATGAATATTATAGTGTGAGCGTTTAAGAATTGAGTCATATGATTGCAATCAGTTTAGCATGTACGACTGTTCATTTTATACTTCTGAAGGGGGAAGGTGACTGTTTTGTATGTGAAGTCGATTTCCTCCCGGTCAGTTACATTTTACAGCTTTATACTGACCAGGGTTGACTTCTCGAGAACTGTTTCTAAAAAATATGACCTATAAAGAATTGACAGACGGGATAATTTATATTTTGGGCGTTCTAATAGGTCATAGTTTTTATGTTTAAGATATTACTCATTATCATTCATCATCTAGATCGTTTCTGTTCGTTTTTAGACCAAGGCCAGCAATTTGTTTTTATCTTATTGACGCCAAGTTTCAATTAAAGGGGGTCCAGTGATTGATCGCTTACCCGCAGTTTAATCCCAGCAAACAGCTTTACAGTAGGGTGGAAAATGGAATACCACTGGCCCATGCCACCGTACTGGCAAATTCCCCTCTTCTTTCTAATTCAGGCAGTGCAGGAAAGAAAGCTAACGGAACATAATTTTTTTTATCATTGCACCAGATTAATAAATGCATTGTGCCCCAGGATAGTGCTCTTTAGTATATATAGACCGGAAATATGTCTGTAAACATCAATTGAAATTTTTTTTTCGTTAAACAGAAAATACCTAAAATTAATCATAATCAATTTATTTGCTATATTATATTAAACAATAAATTACAATTATAAATAGCATTTAATTTGATATATAGTTTGAAAGTCATGAAATCAATGATCAGTGACTTATTACCAAAAACATGCATTACGATTATTTTGACAGTTACTCCTCCTACCGCCACTGAACTAATCATGGCCATATAACTATCTTGTTTTAAGAATTACGCTACTTGTATATAAATTATAATGTTAAAATGCTAGTTTCTACACATCAAAGAACTGGTGCTTATTAAAACTGTGTTCTCGTTATATAAAAATACTACTTAGCTTCAAATCTATAATTAAAACTTAAAGAGAACTTGGAATCGCGAGTTGTTAAAGTGGAATTCTAATAGAAGGCTTTTAAACCAAGAACATTGCAACTGATGATAGTACATATGCTCGGTACCGTTTCATGTGTGGTCGATAATTAAATATTTTATCTATGTTTTGCGGGATAGGAAATATCAACCGTGAGCTAACAGGCAAAGTTCTGTCATTCTTACATGATATGTTATACGAGGTAAAAGCCAGGTCTTGCTTTCATCTTACGTTTTATGACCAGAATCTATCTTATTCCGTTTCTTGGCTTTGATTTCCACTCTATAAATAAGATAAACTTTTCTAGCAAGGCCTCATGGAGCACCATTAAAATAAAAAGTCAGTAGAAATTTAATGGAACGTGATAAGCAGAAGTAAATAAATTAAGAAAATGTTTGAAATTGCAAGAAAATAAAAGCTGTGATAAACTCAAAAATGATGAAAACATAGAACTTTTTTGTTTTCAATCTCCTTTCCTCCGTAGTCTTGACTTCATCAATAACTCATAAATGACAATTTTACTCAATTTATAGAAACCAAATGGTAGATCAGTAAAATATTTATAGGCATCTCGTGATTTAAAAATTCCTTGTATTATCATGTATAAGCACTAACACACAAGTTGTTGAATAGAAACTCACGAAAAATCATTTGTATTTTCCAAAATAAATTCCCAAATTACTTTTGACTTTGTCATATTAGATTTGCCTGTTTATTCGTTAATCCTCCAAGAGATTATAGCTTTTTATTATGGATGTTATCACCAGTTCATCATTTTGCTACTTCATTATTGAACCTGTTTTAAGAGTAGTCTCTACACGTGCTGGCCAGTAGAAATAACAGTATTTTATTGATAATCTGTAATAGGCATTCCATGTTCAATATCCAGACAATAACGTTTTATTAACATCTTGCCTGCAAATCTACTTCCAGTACATTCGTCTTCTTATTGTACCATTTTTATCTGACTTTAGTTCACTGTCTTAATCAAATGATAACAAGGGCAATAACTCTTTCGGTATTAAAAGTACTGACCTTTAATCAGACAATCAAATGATTCGACTTTTAACAGCCTCACTTTGCTCGATTTGTTTTAATAATTAAGAAATGTGACAATTAAATTGGAAAAGTAAATTATATAAATTACTTTAAAAACTGCAACAATTGTGCTGAATCATATTTAATTTTACACTTTCTTCGTCCTCGTTCATTTATATCAAAGTTTTTATAATCGTTATCATTGTGATCTATTTAAAATATCAAAATCAAAACCAACAGTACATACTGTCAAGATCTCTCAACAAAACTGAAATCTAAATTAAGAATCTGACACATCTACCCTATATAGAGCCACGTGAAAACGGGCAAACTTTTTGTTGATACAAGGGATATAACTCCAAAATTAATAGCTACAATCCTCCCAAAGTAAGGCTACAGACTACAAACAACTCAATATTTTTTTTTATTAAGAAAACAACTGCACTCATTCTCATGTGTTATACAATTGTTTAAACAAATCCCAGTTTTGACGAAGAAGCCTATAATGTGTTTCAGCGATTGCAATGATATTTATAGAGAATTTTAATTGTTCAAAAGCGTCATGAATGACCAAAATAAACGTGATTACTTGCATAGCAGCGATGGCAATATAAACACA